CTCTCCACCTCGGGGTGCAGGCTAGCCTCCTCCTTAGCCCACGCTGGACCCTCCTGGACCCTGGGCCAGGCACCCCCTCCGGTGACCCAGGCGTGCCCTCCCCTTCTCCTCCCCATGGCCCGGGCCAGGTCCCCCTTCCTCGTCCCTCTAATCGAGGCGAGGCCGTCGTTTCTCCCTCCCACGGCCCAGGCCAGGCCTCTGTCGCCATCCTCCATGGCCTCAGCCCGGACCCCCGTCAACTCCTGCAGTGGCCTCAGCCTAGACTTGTTTCCTCTCCCCCATGGCTTCAGCCTGAGTCTTCCCTGTCGCCTTGGTCATTAGTCTGGTCCTCCTCCTCCTCCGCCCATGCCTCCGCTTGCACGTCACCCCACCCCACCCCCATGACCCCCTTCCCAGGACTTCTCACCACTCTGAAGAGTAGCCCGCGCCAGCCCCCTTGTGTCCTGGGCTTTACCCTCCCCCCAGGGCCCTGCTCCCCTCCCTTCCCCTTCTGTGCCATCTCTGGGAAGCGAGGGGAGCTCTCCAGCCCGCAGTGGGGAGTGGGGTGGTCCCAGGGTTGTGCCTACTCACGTTTGGGGGTTGCCCCTTCTGGGGAAGCCGCCTGGGAGGGATGGAAGGCAGGGCGGGCATCTGTCCCCGGAAGGCAGCACGGCGCTCTGCGGGCCCTTCCGCGGGTGCGCGCGGGTGCGGTGCTTGCAGAGCGTCCTGTCGGCGGTCGGGCCCGCGTGAGCTGAGGGATGAGGGTGGGGGAGCCGGCAGGACAGGGATGAGCGCACAATCACCCTTGTGAGGCCGCAGCCCTGGGGGGAGCCGGCCGGCCCCGAGAGCAACATACGGCCTGGACACGATGCACCCCAGCAGGCGCAGCCTCCCTTTCCCCCTGAACTGTCAGCTCGTAAGGGTTGGAACTGCTGATTATGGAGGTGTCTTGGATCAGGTGAGCTAGTCTCGGAGGGAGAAGCTAGCTCCACGCGTGGTGTTTGTTTTGGTAATGAAGGCAGGTGCTCTCTGGGCGCTCTGGTTGGCCCGGGGTTTCACACAGGCCCACACATGTGCACCTGCTCTCCTGTCCACTTTGCAGCCTTGTGCAGAGCGGGCCCAGCACCTCGGCGGGAAGGGCTAGAGGGCTTCTGCCTCACATGGCCAAGGAACTTTTGGGGAGTGCGCTGGCAGAGCTCTGGCTGTCCACCTGCTCCTCCCACCCAGGCTGGGCAGACATTTGCATGTGGACTTTGGGCTCCAAAGGGTTTTGAGGATATTGGTTCCTTGTTTAATTAAGGGATGTTGCTGCTAAACTAGGATGACTAATTCAGACTGTCCAAGTTTTTTCCTGATGCCTTCCGGTATATTAATTAAAAACTTGGCCGTTGCCATGTTCCATGCTACTGGACTTCTCTTCATTGGCGGAGAACTGGCTGCAGGGGGTGGTGGCCCAGCCCTAGGCCTGTGTGGAGAGAGACACTTCTTAACAGACTTGGGTGAGGACTTTGAAAGTGGAGTGAGGTTTTGTAAATTTGTTCTTAGGACAAAAGCAGGGGAGAGTGGGTGGGGTTGCCAGGTGGGGCTACTCAAAGCTGGGAGGGGCATCTTGCCTTCGCCCTGGGTGCCAGATTCTCCAAATGTGATGGGAAAATGCCCTTAAATGACCCAGGAGGCTTCTCAAGAGGTTGGGTCTTGCTTGGACAGTCTGAAAGGACTGTGGGAAGGGTGGAGGAAAAGGCCTCCCATTTATTGGGGGGCTATGAGCTTCACCTATATCAGCTCATTTAATCCATATAGAGCCCTTTGAGGAATTGCTGTTTCTATTTTACAGGTAAAGAATTCTGCTGAGACTCAGAGGGTTGGATAACTTAAGGTGTTGCTCAGTCAGTGGAAGTGCTCTAAATCTGGCAGGCTCTAACTTTGTCCTTCCCATTGTCCCAGGCTGCTGAAGTGTGGGAAGATATAAAGAATACTGTTGAGAAAACATAATAATGGGGTGCGCAGAGATGCAGCATTTAGTGTCCTCTACCAACTGAGCTATTGAGGGAAGCACAGGAACATTTGTTGACTATGGATTGTGTGCTGTGTCCTTTGCATAGGGGACCTCGTTTAATAGTGAAGTAGTAGTATGGTGATGCAGGCATAGTTAGCTGGGGCCAGAACGGGAGCTCTTTGGGGTAGGGGATTTTTGTCTGTGTTTTCCATGGCTCTATCCCTGGCACTGAAGGAAGTGGCTTGGAGTGCTCTTTTTTGGGGTGTGTCTATGTCCATGAACTTAGCCTCTTGGAGTTTATACTCATTCTCTCAATGACTTGTTCTTAGTACAGCCCCCAGTTGATAAGTAATTTCTGACTGCTTATTGTCAAATTTATTCTCTACCAGAATACTATGACATGAACTGTGTAGACAGTTGGGGTAGGACAGAAGTGGTGGTGTGGGGTTGCAGCATAGGTAAATGAATTAAGAACACTGTGGTTTTTATTTTCAGTAGATTCGAAGATAGAGCAAATAGCTAGATCTCAGCTGTCCATGGAGGAAAAGAGCGGTTTGAGAATCTGAAATGCATTGAACTTTGAAGTAAATTCCATGATTTTTGTTGGCATCAGTTAAGAATGCATAGGCAAATGGAATTTATATGCATTCCCTTAGCAGGTAATAATGTTACCACTGTGTGTAAGTGCTTTGTAGTTTAAAGCATTTTTCCGTACACAACTCTAGCTTCTAACTTAGGGATTATTGTTCTAACTTGGAGTTATGATTCTGGTGCTGATGGTGGTGGGGCTGTCCCAGGGAAGGGATAGGTGAGGCCCCCTTATGAGTTGGCTCTCTGACTAACAGATGGTTTGGCCTGACAGAAGCTGATAGGTGATGCCTGTCATATTATTACAAAGTGAAACAGTATAGTTAACACTAATGTGTCTTGGCTGGTCTCCTGGTGTGGGTAGATACATCCCTCATGTATATATACAGCCCTGTTCATTTAAATCCAATTGGCCTCTGTTTGGTGGGATGCTTGAAAAAGTAGCCAACGATTGATAGTTTGAGATTAAGGAGATGATGAATCATACATCCGAAAGCAGATATTCTTGTTTATAACTTGGAAGTCCTATGTTTCTTTTACGTTCTGTGGGGGAGGGAAGAGGACAGATGACTGACAGCACAGAGAAATGGCTGGGGAGGTGCATCGACCATTGAGACTCCTGTCTCCCAGTTGGGGAAATGTTTGCTGTTAGACAAATACAAGTTAGGCAAATGCAGAAGTGTGTTGGGGGCTACCTGAAGCTACAGGATAACATTAATTCACCGTATATTTGTTAACTCTTCTCCGTGCTGCTTTATGTGCTGAGCACACAGTGATGAACAAGACAGGCAAGGAAGGGTCTGTGCCCTCACAGCTTACATTATTGGGGGTGGAGGAGGGGCACATTTAAAATGCCTAAAGTCTAAGGAGGAAGAGCCTTGTTTAATATGATTATAAGCACATCTGTGTGAGACATGGCAGGAGACTTAAGAGAAAGTTGGGGCTTGCGCCAGCTTCACTCCCAGATCCTTTGGAGTGTACCTGCCCTTGTCTCTGCCATCACTGTGGAAGTGAATTGCAGTGCACATCGTCTGTTCCTCTGCAGGACAGAAGCTCTCCCATCCACAAAGTCCAACCCTTCTAACCTGGGGAGCTACCATTGACGGAGGGTCTGTTGTGACCCAGAAACGTGACTAGGTTATACCTTATCCTCCGTTTTACTTACAAGGAACCTGAATCTTGAGTGAGAAGTTGAGTGACCAGTGTGAATGGCAGGCCTGGGACGCAGATCTGGTTCCACCTGACACCCGTGTGGACGCTCACTCTGTTTCTCAGAAACAGTGAGCACCAGGCTTTAGGGGTACAGGATTTTGTCCCATTTCTCCTTGCAGCAGATCCCAAGGAAAGTAGGGTGCAGAAGCCCAAAGGATGCAATTGCAAGATCACCTGTATTAGGACCAGCTAGAGCAGCCGTGGGCAAACTATGGCCCGCGGGCCGGATCCGGCCCGTTTGAAATGAATAAAACTAAAAAAAAAAAAAAAGACCGTACCCTTTTATGTAATGATGTTTACTTTGAATTTATATTAGTTCACACAAACACTCCATCCATGCTTTTGTTCCGGCCCTCCGGTCCAGTTTAAGAACCCATTGTGGCCCTCGAGTCAAGAAGTTTGCCCACCCCTGAGCTAGAGCAATGCCATTTCCAAACTTGGCCTTTAAAGGTTAATGTTTCGGTGTAAGGAGGTGGACATGACGTTTATATGACACCAGGCACGTGCCATGCACTGCACTAGGAGCTTTAGCCTAGTCCCCTAGTGTATCCTCCTGCAACAGCCTGGCCAGGAGGGGAGTTCAGCCTTAGGAGGGAGGCAGCATAATTTAAGAAGTTAGGACTTAGGAGCCAGACTGACTGCCTTGGGATAATAACAGTACCTCCTAATAAGGCTTTTGTGAGGATTAAATGAGATAATAATGCATGTCAAGTACTTCAAACAACATCTGGCACATAATTATGTAAGTATTAACTATTATTCTCATCACCATTTTACAGATGCGGTTCAAAGAGGTATGTGGTTAGTCCCTCTAATAGCTACTAAGTGAAGGAACTGGGTTTTCTGACTCCGGAGCTAGTCCCCTTTCCTCCACCCCTTGCTGCCTACTGAAGGCTCATTTCAAGTTTGCTTGGCTTTGGGCCATGCCTTGAAGGAAGACTTTCCCTAATGGAGTCTGAGGCTGTACCTCACCACAGAAGTCAAGGCTCCCTGTGCCCTGGCCACCACCTGTTGCCCCAGCCTGGCGCTAGGTGTCAGGTCTGATCCTGTGCCTGGTGGAGCCCCCAGGCTTGGAAGAAGAGGGTCAGGACTGGGGACAGCACATGTGAGCTCTGTGAGAGCAGGGACCTTGTCTGTTTGGTTGTCATTAACTGCCCCACACCTGGCACTGGTCGCCTGGTGCTTGGTAAGCGCTTCATGAACACTGAGTGAGTAAGTGGTGTGAGCAGAGAGGTGGCTGCGTTTTGTTTGCTGCCTGCTCCACAGAACGTGGGCTTGGCAGTTTTGGGTTGGAGTCCTGTCTCTGCCACTCAGTATGTGATCTAATCTCCCTTTGCCTCAGTTTCTTCTTTTTCAAATTTTTTTATTATTGATTTTTAAATTTTATTTGAGAGAGAGATAAACATCGATTTGTTGTTCCACTTATTTATGCATTCATTGGTTGTTTCTTGTCTGTGCCCTGACCCGGCCAGGGCCTCAGTTTCTTGAGGGTAACATTTTATAGGGATGCCAGGTGAAAGAAGTGAAATGTCTAATGTACTTAATCTGGTACCACAGTAAGTGGTAGCTGTGATTACTATTTGCCTTATTCTGCTTTCCATAGAGTAAGGGACACAAATAGAAGCCATAATCCCTGTCCTCTAATCCAAAAGGGGAGGCAAGATGCATCGAGAAAGTTAAGTGCAGCAGGAAGGAAGTGGTAATAGGAAAGACGGAACAAGGGCCACGCCTGCCATCCCTGCGGGTTTGACTTGCATTCCACCTCCTCCAGCAAGCCCTGTAGACCAGTGGTCACCAACCTTTCGGACCTCATGGACCACCAGTGGTCCGCGGACCACGGGTTGGTGACCGCTGCTGTAGACCACTCCAGCCCACACTCGTGAAGCCTGGGGAAACCTTGCCCAGGCAGAGAGGATGGGGTTGGGTGCAGTCAGGGAGAGGCCATTCTAGGTAGAGGTCTGGAACCAAAAGCAAGGTCAGGGGTTTGGTCTGTCTTGTGAGTTTGGGGACCAGCCATGGAGGAGACAGAGCGAGTTTAGGGACCTCAGTCTGGGGAGTGAGTTGTGGAGTGCCCGAGTTGCTAAGCTAAGGAGTTTGCATTTGGTCTGAGACAGTGTGGAGCCAGTTACATTTTTGACAGGGCAGGTAGAAATTTGAGGAGG